ATTACGAGAGGGATACCAGGTAAGGCAGCAATCACGGTAAATTACGAGAGGGATGCCGGGTAAGGCAGCAATCACTGTAGATTACGAGAGGGTTATCATGTAAGGCAGCAATCACGGTAGATTACAAGAGGGGTGTATCGTGAAGCAGACATCACGCTTGAATACGAGAGGGATTCATCGTGAGACAGACGTCACAGTAGATTACGAGAGAAATTTTTCGTAAGACAACTATCACGGTAGATTACCAGAAGGATTCCTCGTAAGGCAGAAAAAAGGTAGATTACGAAAAAGATACAACGTAAGGCAACCATCACGGAAGATTAGAGAGGAATAGCACGTTGAGCAGCAATAGCGGTAGATTACGAGAGGTCGTAAGGTATCCTTTTTGGTAGATTTTGAGAGGAAACCATCACGGCAAATAACGTTTGTCAATGACTAACCACTTTCTCATGCGACTCTAAAAGGCACAACAAAAAGACGCCTGGTAATTGATTTACAGAAATCTCAAAGAAGTTCAGCCGGTGCTATGGGAAGTGTATGTGCATCGCCGCTGTTGTTTTTTTTTTTCTTCGGAAATCGCTTTGTATGTTATTTTTACTTCAGAACATTCGTCCTTCATTCACAATTTTAAAATGGATTGATTCTCTGTGACTTTGACATGAAAGAAATAGTCAAAACAAGTCTACAAGAATATCATGTTGCATAATTCAATACGGCGCAGTACGGGTGGCAGACGTGTCATAGGTTAAATATTTCGAACATTTCACACTTTTAACCTCATTATCAAAATTCCTATGTCTTTCAAAACAAAAGAATAATTGCGTGATCATAAACCTCTGTTATACCACACGTGTAGCAGAGACTTAATTGATCAAATTAAGCACGCATGTTCAATTTAGGGGCATTATTCTGAGGCATTGATTAAAGAGAACATTATTTTGTGACACAGTTTTTAAGATTATTTGATTTTAAAGACTGATATCTAACGAGGATACTTTTATCTATATATATAATACATATACCATGATAATAATCAAGATGTTTTATCTCGTAAAGGTTAATCTGAAATCTTAAAATCAGTTTATGATAAATGAGTGATGAAAAGTAGGTGAACATGATTGCTTGAAGCAAGGTCAAGGACGGCTGATATCAAAAAGGTCATGAAAATTATGTACCTATAGAATATGCGAGATCATTATCTATTGTACATGTATCCATGATTGTACATGTATTATCTTAAATACAACCACCTGGTGAGTAAAGAATATTTTAAAAGTATAAATAAGGCTATAAGAACTACAGTGTAACCTCTCCAGAGCGACCCTCAAAAACTACAGTGTAACCTCTCCATAGCGACCCTCAAAAACTAGTGTAACCTCTCCAGAGCAACCATCAAAAACAACAGTGTAACCTCTCCAGAGCGACCATCAAAAACTACAGTGTAACCTCTCCATAGCGACCATCAAAAAACTAGTGTATCCTCTACAGAGCAACCATCAAAAACTACAGTGTAACCTCTCCAGAGCAACCATCAAAAACTACAGTGTAACCTCTCCAGAGCAACCATCAAAAACTACAGTGTAACCTCTCCATAGCGACCCTCAAAAACTAGTGTAACCTCTCCAGAGCGACCATCAAAAACTACAGTGTAACCTCTCCAGAGCAACCATCAAAAACTACAGTGTAACCTCTCCACAGCAACCATCAAAAACTAGTGTAACCTCTACAGAGCGACCATCAAAAACTAGTGTAACCTCTACAGAGCGACCATCAAAAACTAGTGTAACCTCTACAGAGCGACCATCAAAAACTACAGTGTAACCTCTCCAGAGCAACCATCAAAAACTAGTGTAACCTCTACAGAGCGACCATCAAAAACTAGTGTAACCTCTACAGAGCGACCCTCAAAAACTAGTGTAACCTCTACAGAGCGACCCTCAAAAACTACAGTGTAACCTCTCCAGAGCGACCCTCAAAAACTAAAGTGTAACCTCTCCAGAGCAACCATCAAAAACTACAGTGTAACCTCTCCAGAGCGACCCTCAAAAACTAAAGTGTAACCTCTCCAGAGCAACCATCAAAAACTACAGTGTAACCTCTCCAGAGCGACCATCAAAAACTAGTACACTGTGTATAACCTCTAGAGCGACCCTCAAAAAAACTACACTGTAACCTCTCCAGAGCGACCCTCTGTAGGACAATAACCTCTTTACAACAGTATTAATTTATTTCCAAACTAAGACTTCACAATAAGTTTTAACTTCTTTAAGAGCAAGACCTCCCAGCATAAATATTTGTTTCCCAAAGGGTGTTGCTATGCCGAGATTGCACTGTACTTAAATATTCATACTTGCATGTTTCATACAAACTATGAATAATTGAATTTGCCATTTTAATATCACATTTTAATGCTGTTAATAACTACGCTCAATGGCAATGTCTGTATATATCAATACGTTGGTGGATAATACTGATTTTGGTCTTAGCTTAGCTAAAATAAGTGTTTTTGCAATTGACATTTTTTCTAATTAAAACAATTTATTTTAAATTTAAATCCTAAAGCAGTCTGCTTTAAACCATATTTAAAGAATTTATAAATATATATTTTTTTTTCAGAAATAAAAGGTCTTGTTTATTATAGTGTCCCCCAACTGAAAGGGTCAGCCATTTCTGACTTATGAGACACCTTTTGCTTGCATACCATGTACCTCCCAACTCCTACCACTATGCCAGGTGGATAGAAATCGTTAACCATTCATTTTAACTACCTCGCACCTCACGAAGCGGCCATTTCGGAACAAGTCCCACGAGAAACATTCATCCTTCAATTAACGCTCCCCGTGGGGCTCGAATCTTCGACCTCCGGATCCGAAGGCGGACGCCTTAACCACTAGGCCAAAGGTACTGGTATAAATATTTTATCACCTCTAACTCAATAACATATTGAGCATGATCACACATCTTTAACAGTCACATCTTTAGCGTGATCTCATATTTAGCATAATCACACATTTTACAGGATCATACCTTTATTTTAAATCAGTGCTTTGATTTAAAACAAAGTGTGCAATTTCCAGTGCAGCTAAAGTGTATGCTAGACAAGAACAAATAGGCTTTGTGCATGTAATTCTTCCAGCTTTACCTGATTGAATCAATGGGTGTTATAAAAATATTGGACAAAACAAAAAACAAAGAATACAGTAATAAAAACCCACATATATAATTTTATTGACCAAGTTTTCATAATAAAATTCCACCAATTAAAATGCTCATCAAATTAGATGCACAGAAATAATGATAAAACATTTTAATCAATTAACAACAACATTCACTCACTAAAAATGAGATTTTATCTATGTGACATGAAATGATTTAAAGACCAACCTAAACCTCTAATTGTCAAGTTGAGTAATATAAAAACATTAATTTTTGGTAATTTTACAAATCAACTAAATATCCAAGAATCATTTAAACTGAGCTGACAGATGGAATTCATGAATATTTAATCTTACAAATACACATGTAAGTCTAAAATATTCTTTCAGCAAAGATTTTGGCTTCACCAAAATATCTTGATTTTACAAAAAAAAGAAAGAAATTACTTGCTTTCTAAAATGATAAAAACTTTATCCATTGAACACAAATTTGTTTCAAGTCCAAACCTACCATACACCAACTATGCTGAGTTTAACACGATCTCTATGTAAATTGGTTTAAAAAAACTCATCTCATTTCAAATGATGATGTTTAAAGGCCTAACTAGATTGACATATGTCAAGTTAAATAATAATTTTGACATGATTTGCTTTTCTACATTGATTAAACAAATAATTGATTTATTGAACATTAAATTGATTCAAGACCCCGAACAAAAATTACATATCAATGTCAACAACACATAACTTAAACTGATTTAAATTCTTAACAAGAATTTAAAGACCTACCAAGATAGATGTAACTAAAAATGGACGTCGGTGGCAAGAACAAAGAATTTCAACACCAGTTAAATTCTATATCTGTTACAAAAAGTCTTTCATATCTATCAGGTTTTATTTTGTTATATATATGAAGGGACAAAAATCTGTTTAAAATGACATATAAACATAAATTGAGGCTCAACAATTATGTCACATGTGTTATTAATTATCAATAACTGGACACCCAAACAATGATGTCATGTGATATCAATAACTGGATACCCAACAATTATGTCACATGTGGTATCAATAACTGGATACCCAACAATGATGTCATATGTGGTATCAATAACTGGACACCCAACAATGATGTCATATATGGTATCAATAACTGGACACCCAACAATGATGTCACATGCGTAATCAATAACTGGACACCCAACAATGATGTCATATGTGTTATCAATAACTGGACACCCAACAACGATGTCATATGTGTTCTCAATAAATGGACAACCAACTATGATGTAACATGTGTTATCAATAACTGGACACCCAACAACGATGTCACGTGGTATTACTGACTGGACACCCAACATTGATGTCACATGTGACAAGATATCAATTGACATCCATTAATGATGTCACATAATGACATCATGATCAGCTAATTATCAGAGTTGAAAATTGCATTTGCTTAAATGTTTTAACATCTTTCAACACCTTTCAGTGCAGTATTTTTAATAATGTCCCATTGAAGCCAAAAACAAATTTTCCCCATTTTGTAACATAAGTACAAATAATAAATATTCTCACAAAAAAGCAAGCACAAATTTAGGCCAAGGTAGGTTTAGATTAAGCAACAAAAAATATTTAATAAATCGTCCAACCTTCCACACATTTTTTAATGTTTTATTGCCACAATGGAAAATACTTTAATGAATGTAAAAAAATGCATATATTTCATATAATTTATAATTGCACATCAAATTTATGTACTTTTTTTATATTTTTTTTACAACTTGTTGTTTTTTTCTTCACATTACATGTATCGACAGAAACACATTTTTCGTCCTTTTTCCCCCACATTGTTCTTTGGTCCTATATAGCTACTATTTATAAATTTATATGTTATTATATAATAAATATGTCTAATTTACATCTAACAATCCCTGAAAAATAGTGATTTGGTCATGACCAACTTATATACAAAACCATCAAGCATTTACAACATGTAATTTTTTTGCTTTCATAATAATTTCATACCTTAATATCTATCTAAAAATATCTATTGTTAAGGTTACGCTTACATAAACACTGTAAAGGTCATATCGGGATTTCCAGCTTGGAGCAAGACCTAAGATGCTATTCTATGCAATACTTTAGGCATGAGTAAGCACGACAAGCTAACCGGATACCTTTCTCATATGAAAGAACCCAAAATCCCTCAAGGGATTCAAACTCAAAGCAAATCACTTGGCAAAAAAAATATTTTGACTTCTGATAAACAACTTTGTAGTCATTGTAAAAGCTAACCCAAAATTACCCATGCACTCTAAATATTATCTCTCTTACAAATAAATAGCACTATATTGAATAGTTTTTCATTCTGGTTTCTTTCGTTAAATAGCAAAGATCCTTAAGGCGTTCTATCCGACAACAGCAGGCCCCAGAGTTCCAGATAATCTGCGTACTTGTTATATTCCTTTTAAGGTTATGGGAAAGTTAAACAATAGATGTTATTCTGAACTCGGCATATGTTGGTTTTTCCAAGCTTATGCCCCGGTATAAAACAAACTTTTTACTGTTATAGCTTCACAGTGCACTACCCATCAAAATAGATTAGTCAACCTGTTGCGCTTATTTTCAAAAGCTGTAGTAAAACTTTGTTTGTACCTCCGGATTATCTCAGGGAAAACCTTAAATATTCTTAATTCCCTAGGAGTACGTCTATTTGCTGCATTGTCACAGGCTATTGTTGGATGCCTCACCTTAAGAACTATCAATCGAACATCACTACACTTAAAATAACAGGCTGCCTTCTAACTTCAAACAATACTGGAAACTGACTAATTATGTATACAATAAATATTCAATGTCTTAACAACAATATAAACACTGTGACTATTATTCTATCTATGGTAAGTATTTAAATAACAATTCACTTAAAAAAAAACTCAAAGGAACACTTGTATATGTTATTTCCCTGAATTTCTGCCCAATAAGTATATATTCCAAGTTCACTTACAAACAAATACAATATTCTTAAGGTAATATAAAGTTATGGATAAATTTCCTCATTTTGACCTTAAAGGTAAAGGTCATTCATAGGTCAAGGTCAAATTACAAAAAAATCAAAATGAGGCTCCCATCAAGCTTGAACTGTGTCACATTATGTAGGCTTTAGCTTTTAAAATGAGGACTCAAAAGCTCAAAAGCTTATGTTGACAACACTTAGACATACATACAGTCAGAGAAATGATCTGGCAAAAAAAGCTCCCCCACCCCGCACACTCGGAGGCGCAGATGCAATTGAAATAATTGGCAGCAAACATTTTAATGTACATAAAAGGAAGTTATTTATAATATAGTGACCAACAGAACTGTAAATATGCAACTTAACTTATTTAACTAAATCCATCAAAACCCCTCCTTTGTAGTAATTTTCATTAACGGAAAAATGGCAGTGTCAATGAAACATGAAAACAAATAATTCGCAATAATAAATAAGAATACATCTGCATATGAGCCATGCCCATTAATTACAATACATTTAACATTAATAGCATCTCAAAATGTCAATAAAAACTAAAATTTTGGTAATTTTTCAAAATTTTGAATAACCAAACTTTTTAATAAGCAACGCAATTTTGGTTACAGTGAGCACCAAAATTGTGCACATTAAGTCTGTTAACAAAGTATTTGTATTAGTGGCGGGTGTTGCAAAGAAAAAAAATCATTTTGTAATATATTGCGATATTTACAGATATATTGCAATATATTGTGAACTATATAAAATGCTTGAAAATCAAGGGTAAGACCTACAGAACCTTGACTTATCTATTCATTTAAAATTATCATATGTCACAATAAATCGTATGCAAGAGGCCCTTTAATAAAAGATTTCACAATGTGTTAAAAAAGCCATTGTAAATCAAGGAGTTTAAACAACATTTGAAGTCAAACTAATACAAGTTGACTACAATTCTTTCATGTTTATATTCAACGTTTATAGCTTCAATATATTGCAGTATCTGAAAATATATTGCAATATATTATTGCCAGATAAAATATTGCAATATCCAAATATTGCCATATATTGCACAACTTCATGATCTGTACGATTATCAAAATATTGAAAAATCACCAAAATTGTGGAGAGAAAAAAAAAATCATCAACATTTTCAATAATAACCAAACTTTTGAAGTATAAACAAGAACTTTGAACACCTTTACAACGGTTTAGCTAAATTTACATAAAATATTGGCGTAATTCTTATGGACAACACAATATTTAAAAATATTTCAAAATGCAATATCTCCAGCAACACAAGTATATTATAGTGAGTAACATACAAATTACATATAAATGTGCAACCATTTAAACTTTCCCCTCACATTATTGTTCAAATACATTACAAGATTTATGTTACATTTCTACTGGTATTTCTTGAAAGTTGAAAAAGCTCATTCTGTACTAAAGTTACCCTCTATTCAATATATAAGTTTCAAACATTAAATATCTAGTAAGACTTTCACTGTATAAAAGAATCCCAGGTCATATTCAATGGTGTTATTCTCAGTAGACCGCAAATTTTACATAGTAACTAAGATAGATGCTCATTCTCACAGATGTCTGTACTGGGGTTGTCCACTGGTACAGTCTTTTTTATGTTTTTTTTCCAGAATTTACTTTATCAATATCTTTGGTTGTTTATTTTTTTGGTTTTACAGCACACAAACACAATTTAGGTCATATGGCGCCAAGACAGGATAGATGAATCAATATCATATGGACAAGACAAAAAATGCTTCAGATAAAATGGAAAAGAAAATCAAAGAACTCCAAGTTCAAGAAGCAATGAAGAAACTAAGAGATGCTCCCCATTTTTCTGTGTGATTTTGTTAACATGTTCGCTTGTTTTTAATGCCAAGTTTCACTAATTTTTGGTCATATCCCGGCTTACAATAACCCATAATATGTTGAGGCTAAGTATTTTTGTCAATAATATAAAACTATCAAGGCATGCCAACACTATCTGATGTAAAAATCTAAGCGCATCGGCATGCATCTGGGGAGATCCCTAAAAGGCAGAACTTTTGGCGGGTCGGTCAAAAGTGGTATTCTAGGAACATTTTATTGGAGGACCAATTAAATGACAGGAAGAGTGGTAAGCTCGATTATCAAGACCTTTAAATGAATAAACTAAATTGGTTTTTTTAATAGGTGAGATAGGTGCTTACTAAGCAATTAAGAAAGATAATTAAATCATATTGTCTGAAAACTTGAAATGCAATTAACTTTCTTTGCTGGCTGAGAAGGAAGACATGGCAGTGCTTTAACTTGCAGCTGATAGATACTGTTTAACATGAATCTTTTTAGATCTAAGGGACACAATTCATTCTTATTGCAATATTTTACAGATTTACTTCCCTTATACACTTCCTTCCCATGCAGTTAATATTATATTTTCATGCACATACCACGGTCAATGTTTGTGAACATCAAAAATATCTTTCAAAACAATGTTAACTCTCTAATTAAATCAATATGAAATCGAAAATACTTTCATGAAACAATGGAAAATGATAGCAAATATAAATGCTCAATACAGCTTTGTGTCAACGCCTGTAGTCCAATCTTTACTCCTTCTCCTATCAGTAGACTGAGACAAGTTCAAGGCATATTCCATGTAATAAAACCCTATGAAATCCTCACTTCGATGGAAGTTAGTGGTCAAAATCTTTAAATAGATGACCACTATTATACACAGAGCATTTCATTATGGGCGTAAAACTAGCTAAAAATCTGACAAGATCTCTACATTATTAACATTATTCAGGGATGAATTTTTGTAAAAGCCTTTCTTCTGGAAAAAGAAATAAATTTTAAAAAATTTTCAAGCTTTACTCAATCATAACCCTAATTTTACAATTGCCCCAACCACTGCAAAATATCCTCATGGTTTATACATTGACAGTCATCCAGTTGGAAATGTGTCATTGGTGTCCGCATGTGTTTTAACGATTCATTTGCCGCAATAGTCAAATCGTTCCCACGTAAGCAAATAATACAGTTGCAGATATAATATCATCAGTCGCAGCCGCAGTTGAAATGTTCGTCGCTATCCTTCAGTTTGTTGTAATTTGCGCCGACACACACCGTGTGGTACCAACCGTCACAATCGTCACACTGCACCTATAGAAATAAAGTAATGTCAGGTTATAATTTAAGGCATATTACCAAAATACTGATCTTTCTTCCATCTAATAACTCTTCTCCTAACTTCATACCATACCCTCTAGTTCCTTCAGGACAAGCCCCTCATGGCAGGTTTATTTGCCTTATATATATTTTTATAATACTTTTTTTATTAGGTTTTACGTCACACCAACACAGTATAGGTTTTATGGTAACTTTACTGCTTTCATTTAAAGGAAGACTTCGGGTGCCCTTCCTGTATTAATTCAGGCCAGACCTGGGGTAATCACTAATCGTAATCATCGATTTTTTAATTGATTACATGATTACACTGTAATCATCATGTAATCGATTACCTTGCTCAAAATTGATTACATTAATTGTAATTAATCAATTACAGCTTAATTTCAGTCTGTAATTATGATTACAATTTGATTGATGTTGATTACTTTCAGATTTAACATGAATGTATTAAAATTCAAATATTTATTTCACATGTTACAGTTTAACTAAGGTAGTAAAATATCAAGTGAGACATTTTATGACATCACTCACAATGAAAAAATAAGTTTTAATCCATAATTCTAACTGAAAGATAAACATCATTGTTTGGCTGGTATTCTAACCAAAATGTCATATCATTGGATTTATGATGTCTTTGAATTTCCAAAAGAAACATCTGCAAATGTGACAGCACAGTGCAAATTGTGCCATAAGAAGATAAATGGAAACACTAAGTCACATTAAAATTTCATTACCCACATGAAGGTATGTTAAATTATGTTTCACATATTTCAGGCACAAACTTGCATCTTAGTAAAAATAGAACCACAGACATTTTGTAAGATAGCTGTATAGCTTCCTCACATGAAAGAATCCAAAGTCCCTACCGGGATTGGAACCCAAAGCAGTGACTGTGAGGGGCAAGTGGTTTGAAGTTAATAACCTTAACCACTTGGCCACAGACAAATTTTTCATTTGCATTTAAAGATATAACAATACTGTTAAAGCCCTTACTGGACTGAAGAAGACATTATGTGCCTTTCTGAGCACTAGTCCTGTTACAAGTAAGTTCAACCGTTTTATTTTTGTAAACTTCCCCTTATGAAAACTATTCCTTGGCTCAAGATCCTTCAAACCAACAGATTTGAGGGATGAAGGCCACACACTTAAAGGCAATATTGTTTCTCTTTTAGTAATAAAAATATTATGCAATTCATATATGAAACAAAGTGAAAATCTAACCCATTACCTTCTGGAACCAAGAGTAATTAGCCTTTGCAATTAGTATGAGCTGGGAAAGCCTGCATTTTCTAGCAGTCTGACCAGGCTTCTGACCATTGGATATCTCAATTTTTGTATTTTGTTATCAAAATCCTTTTTAACTTTGAATGGAATGTTAACAAGAGGGCCATGATGGCCCTGAGGTCACTCACCTGTATATAGCCCCCCCCCCCCCGGGCCAATTTTACCCAAGGGCTTTTATTTGTTTATTTGAACAGACTTGGTAGACACCCATAAGAAGATGTTTCATGCTAAACATCTAAGTTCTAGCTCATTGGGTTTTTTAAAAGAAGATTTTTTAAATTTTTACTATACACATATAGTAAAAAACAATGACACCCCTGGGGCAGGGCCAGTTTTGACCCCCGGGCTTTTATTTGAACAAACTTTGTAGATATTTACTTATAGATGTTTCATGCTTAATATCTAAACTCTAACTATTTGGGTTTTTTCAAAGAAGATTTTAAGTTTTTGCTATACACATATAAGGAAAATCAATGACCCCCAGGGCGGGGCCAGTTTGGGCCAGTTTTGACCCCAGGGCTTTTATTTGAACATACTTGGTAGACACCCATTAGAACATGTTTCATGCTAAATATCTTAGCTCTAGCTCTTTGGGTTCTTTAAAAGAAGATTTTTTAAGTTTTTACTAAATGCATATAGGGAAAATCAATGACCCCCTGGGGCGGGGCCAATTTTGACCCCAGGGCTTTTATTTGAACAAACTTGGTAGACACTCACTAGAAGATGTTTCATGCCAAATATCTTAGCTCTAGCTCTTTGGGTTCTTTAAAAGAAGATTTTTTAAGTTTTTACTATATGCATATAGGAAAAATAAATGACCCCCCGGGGCGGGGCTAATTTTGACCCCAGGGCTTTTATTTGAACAAACTTGGTAGACACTCATTAGAAGATGTTTCATGCCAAATATCTTAGCTCTAGCTCTTTGGGTTTTTTAAAAGAAAATTTTTTTAGTTTTTACTATATGCATATAGGGAAAATCTATGACCCCCTGGGGCAGGGCCAATTTTGACCCCAGGGCTTTTATTTGAACAAACTTGGTAGACACTCACTAGAAGATGTTTCATGCCAAATATCTTAGCTCTAGCTCTTTGGGTTCTTTAAAAGAAGATTTTTTAAGTTTTTACTATATGCATATAGGGAAAATCAATGACCCCCTGGGGCGGGGCCAATTTTGACCCCAGGGCTTTTATTTGAACAAACTTGGTAGACACTCATTAGAAGATGTTTCATGCCAAATATCTAAGCTCTAGCTCTTAGGGTTGTTTAAAAGAAGATATTTAAAGATTTTTCTTTCGGTTGCCATGGCAACCAGAGTTCTGCATGGAATTAAATTCTTTGAACAATTTTTAAAGGTGACCACCAAAGGAACATTCCTGTGAAGTTTGGATAAAATTGGCTTGGTGGTTTAGGAGGAGATGTCATTTAAAGCAAAAGTTTACAGACGGACGACGGACGGACGGACGACGGACGGACGACGGACGAAAAGCGATCACAAAAGCTCACCCTGTCACTTTGTGACAGGTGAGCTAAAAATTCAATGAATAATAAATCCATTACAACATTTAATAGAATAAGGGAGGATTAACAAACTTATTACTTTATATATGTATAATTTTAATTTAGTCTTTAGTCTTTCATCCTAAAACAATATCTTATCATGGCATTTTTTTTTCAATCTAAAAACCTAATTTCTACTTAAATCAATGCAGTTGAATATCAAATAAAAGCTTGTGAAGGCAAGGCCAAGTGGTTAACACGTCAGACTAGTAATCTAAGGATTACTGACAGCCTGAGTTCAAACACCGTCAGGGGCAAGCTGTTGTTTCCTTGACCAAGAAACTTTACACTTAATGCGTAGTACTAGTTGGTTCCAGGAATGGATTTGAGAGTGTTTCAATAAGCTTATAGCTTTCAAACAATCTAAGTAAAATAAGTAAGTATAAACTAACTAAAAGGTTAATCCTCTATAAAGTAACTTACCCAAGGGGTTCTCTTCTTTTTCGGACGTTTACAATCTGCAGAGTCGCACGTGTCATCCTCGTACCATTCCACGCCAGGCTCGAGGTTGTCACTTGTAGAAGCTGTTGAAGAAGAAGCCGCGCCACCTTTTCTTCTCCTTTTCCGGCTTCCAACTGCCGGTGCATCATTTCCTGTAAAGATTGATAAACATACCAATTAAATTCAGCATGCCTTCTGAATAATGCTAATTTTCATGTTTTTTTCCCCCTGAAATGTATCTAAAAGTAAAAATATTGCGAAGTGAACAAAGTAATTTACACACTGCAAACGCCCTTGCAATCCCGTAAATTACCAAAACAAGGTCAAAATATGCAAAAACAGCCTTTACTGCACTAGACATGCAGTGGAAGTATAGTGATATAAAATACTGCAAAATCAGTCAATAATCGCACATCAATGTAAATTATTACTTGCATTTTGCATTGTGTTTTTACTTTTCTAAAAATAATTTTTCCTTAACTTTGATTTTCTTGAAATATTTTGGTTTGTCTGGAAGCATGCAGCTTTAAATATTTCATTAGCTTTAAGTGATGAAAAGCAAGACTGAGATCACATGACCATATTGTAGACGTACATTTCGTGGAAAAGTCACCAGGCCTAGTGCCCCTTACTCTGTATCTTCTGGCACAAGTGCATACCTGGACAGTTCAAACTAAAGTTTGGTTGGCTAACCAATTAGTTTTGATTTTAAAATTATTGAATGCATAATGTTTACAAACAGTCACAATACCATATCAAGTCAAAGCAAGACTTTTGATATTCTGGATGAATAAGAATATTTTTTGCATATTTCAACTTGACTTTCCATCTAGAACTAGTCTAATTAACGAGAAACTGACCTATAACAACAATTTTTGATGTTTTTATTAGTCACAAAAAACGTTATTTGACACAAATTTAAAGACAGGGCCACAGTAAGGTAAAAATAAAATAATAGTGGTTTATACTTTATAGCAAAGTCAAGCATGTCTTGTATTTCTTTATATTACACGTGTACCAAATTTTCTTAAATTCTTCCACTTTCCTAGTTAGTATCATCCAAAAACCATGAAAATGGAGTGACTGAAAAGTTCACAAGTATTCACTCCTATGATTTATAATGTAATATAATGGACAATGATAATAATTGTCCCACAGAATATTACCTTGCCTCTTCTTCTTTTGTTGTGGTTTTTGTTTGGCTTGTGACTTTGGCCTCTGATCAGCCTCGGGCTTACACGAGTCATCTGTAAATACAATCAAACAACACACTGTTAGACCTTTAACTGGTTACAATTTGTGTAATAAACTTCAGTCTGGGGGTCATCATTCATTCAGAGCTAATTTTCTCCTTCTGTCTTTAAAACACATCTTGACTGGTAGTTTATCATCAGTGCATTAAATCATTTTGCTCAAAATCCATTTTCTAGACAAGAACTCCTAAGAATCTTGAACACAGAGTTGCTTCCCTTTATTGATATAGTATTTGCAGATTGTTTATTTGTAGACATAATGAACTGCTGTTTTTTCTTTCGCCTTCTGCTAAAAAACAATTTAGCTGGTGGACTTACACTCAAGTTGTAAGCATATAAGCAATCAATCTGTAACAATTTAGCTGGTGGACTTACACTCAAGTTGTAAACATATAAGCAATCAATTTGTAACAATTTAGATGGTCGACTTGCACTCAAGTTGTAAACATATAAGCAATCAATCTGTAACAATTTAGCTGGTGGACTTGCACTCAAGTTGTAAACATATAAGCAATCAATCTGTAACAATTTAGCTGGTGGACTTGTTTTCATTTTCAGCTTGCTTGTTTTGACGATATAACATCATAGGTGCTTGTGTTCAGTGAGCTATTTACAAATACTACACCATCCTAGTTGGGTAAACTTACAAATGGTCACCTGACACTATAGTAGTAACAAGCATCAGGGCCATGACTACCTTATTATAGGGGTTTTGGGCCATTCAGGCTGGGGAATTTAGTCATTTTGAAGAAGAAGAAAAAGGATATTTTGTCTGTCAACAACAATCAGTGTCTATTCTAGGAATTGAAAAATAGGGGTGATTTTCCCCCCTCTATTTCAAAAAAGGGGGCGATTTTCAAAATCAAAGGGTGCCAATATAAACTGCCAATGTTAAATCGTCTGCATTAAGTTTACACTGAGGCGTTCAACCGATGAAATAATTAAAACGATAATATTTATTTAAGGCAGCAGAAGTTGTCCCCCCTTAATTTTTAAACGAAAACAAATTATTACAGAACTGCCGCGATTGATTATAAAGGGATTGGCAATACAAATAATCGAACTATCTTTCACGTCTAGATTGTAGCCAAGCTAGGAATTGCCTCATTTTTCTTGATTATTTACTACACTAAAATGGCGCCCAACTGTCAGACCTAGCACACTAGTTCCGGTCGATACGGAACATTCCGTTATTTTCCGTCAACTCACGTAACCAGTACCGTACGGTACTAAATTATTATAATTAGCTTACAGTTACCTCCCTTCAGTTTTCGGTGTAAATGTAAACAAAACAACCAAATATAATGTGGGATGGAAGTTTTACGGTTTTATTATCTTTTTTTATAGATGCGTGATTTTCACGCACATGATTTTGAATTGTGCGCGATCTGTTAAATACTAGCGTGAATCGCGCAATCGCGCGTCCTAGAATAGACACTGAACAAAACTCATATATTATTATTAGTATTATTTTTTTACATTGCAAAAAGAAAAATGATAAGATATTACAAAGGGTTTTTTTAGTAATCACTTTTTTCCAAGGGGATTTTTTCTTAAAAAGTAGAAGATAATATTATCAATTCTGTAGGGTATTTTACCTCAAATAATTGGGAAATGAGGACCCTTTCTATATCAATTTGGTTGGAGAGTGGGGCTGAATTTTAACTTTCATAATTTTTAGAAATGAGGACCCGGTGTGTATTAAATGGCATTTCTTACCTTCTTCTGAACTATCTTCCGATTCTGATGGTGGCTCGACTACTTTCTTTCTACCGACTGGTTTCTTTGGTGGTGCACTGTAATATAAATATTACATATAGAAAAAAATTGGACAAGTAACGACATTTTGCTGCATTAAATTATAACACAGAGGAAACAAGTTGACATTTGACAGGTTTTTGAAGGTATACTTTTTCTATAAACTTTTAGTGCTCTAATTTTGCACATAAAAAGGATGCAATTTTGGACCAAATACTTAAGTAAAAGAATGTCTTTAATTAAAATGAGCGCTTACTTTTTGAAACTGTTTAATACTTTAAATACAATGAAGCGTGGAGTATCCAACTTAATATTGTTTTACCAGTGTATCATAGAATAAAGTGGGGTCAATGGCCAAGAGGTTTAATGGCCTCTGAACCACTTGCCTCTCACTGCTGTGAGTTTGAATCCCATCATAGACTTTAAATTCTTTCTGAGAGGAAGCTATTCAACTAGCTTATAGAATGTCAGCAGTTTTACTTGGGAGCAAATTTGGGCTTGAAATAATGCAACAAAAGGCGCTCAATGTCCTCCTGGAAATTTGCGATATGATCTTTTAATTCTTAACAGTATTGACCTTACCAACCAAACCACGATAATATAAGTAACAGATCCCTACTCTTGACCTATTCATTGAATAACAATAGATTTAACCACAAACATTGACATGTGCTCTTTTGTTAACAAACATGTTGTGGTGAAATTTTTATTGTAATACCCTTATCTGATAATTAGATTTTAGCATGAAACAGGTTAGGAATTAATGCGTTACATCATAATGATATATAGTATAACAGGGCTCGAATTTAACTTTTTTGGCCACTAGCAATTTTTTGCTAGTGGACAAATTTTTAACTAGCAAAAACTGAATTCAACTAGCACTTTTTAAGACAATGATTTTTTAATTCCAAAATTGTTTAAACTTTTGTGTACATTCATTAATTGTTTAAATTATCATGTACCATAATAATTAATTCATTGTTGTTACAATTATGTATCATAATTATGAATTTTATTGAAAATGTTTTTATTAATAAATGTTGTAGTGTAACACATAAATTGACAGTACTTAGTTAAAAAGACAAAGTTGTTGCTGGATATTGAGAATAACAAAATTAAAATTGCAAAAGGTTTAAACATATTTTGTGACAGCTGACTTAATCATGAAATTGGGCATGAAAAAAATTATAATACTTCAATTTTAAGTTTAATTATTTGATGTGCTGAAAGACAAAGTTGTTGCTAGATATAGAGAATAACAAAATTAAAATTGTAATTTAGTCCGAACAGCCTGGGGTACGAATCAGCAACGTAACTTTCTACTCAAAAACTTGATTTAGGGGACAGGGATTCTTATCAAATGTCAATCTACATGTAAAAAAATAATAATGCAATATTGTCGCCATACCGATGATGTCAGGTCTGGATTATGCACACAACAATCGGCGAAAAATATTTTGGCAACATTTCCATCGTCATCGAGTTCGTACGTCAGACTGACGTGCAGTTCTTTCTCCCATTTTTAACTGTTTTAACTGAAGGCCTGATTGTCTTTCTTTTGATAGACTGTGAATCATTTTCTGTACTCAAGAGTATTGTTATCGGAAGACACATTTGCTTTAGTAAGTGGGAAGAAGTTCGTTATTTTTCGTTTAGACATTTTATTCCGATCACGCTTGATTTACACGGACAAAATGACATTTGGACTGGTTTAAATTGGTGTACTTTTTTAAGCGAGGTTAAGGTATCGAAAATGTAAACCAGACAGCAAGTGCGCGCATAGTTTATAACTCGGCTACCTGCGAATATTACGCCCCATTTATATTTCGGATTTTCCTAACGAGCGTATTCCGTTTTTTCTTCAACTCGCAAAAAATTGCGAGTAGTCATAAATCTAACTCGCAAAATCATTTTTCAACTAGCATTTTGCGAGTTTGCGAGTGTTAAATTCGAGCCCTGGTATAACCCTTCATCATATTACCTTGTTTTTCCTTTTCTAACTCCTCTTTTCTTCTTAACCACCACTTCTTCTTCTTCTTCTTCCTCCTCCTCCTCAACTTCTTCTTCTATTTCATCATCATCGTCATCACTATTAACTACGTCCTCAATTTCAGCTGGCAATGTTTCTGAAAATACATCCTTACTTCCTCCCGTTGACACTTTACGTTTAGAGTCACTCACTGAATCACTTATTGGAGATTTACCAGAACTTTCAGAGTTATGCTTACCTGAACCACGTCGGCCTTTTTGATATGAGCTATTTTTAGAAACAAAGTCAAGGTCATTGTCAGAATGGGAACTCGAATCTTTCCGGGTGCGACCTTTATGAGGAGATTTCGATTTTGCACTTTTTTCGGGAGACTGTTCTACATTCGATTGAATGTCACTGTTTTTAAATAGTCTTTCGGACACTATTGTCGCGTCCTTTTTGAGATCTGGTGGATTTGAACTCTCCTCTACCGGAGTTGTGTTTGGTGATGACAGTGACTCTGAAAACATCTCCGAGGTTTTTGATTTCCTTGGTATTTTTTCGAACTGGAAATGAAATGAAATATTATTTTAATACAATAGGAATACTCTTTCTGTGGTTTTCTTTCTCTAGAACTGGAAATAATTTTTTGAGATTAATGTTTCATTTGATGTGGATATAGACCAATTACTTGTATGCAAAATTTCAGATTGTTCACTCAGTTTCTCCAGAATAATTATTTTGTGAAAAAAATGACCCAAAATTGATCCAATCGGATCAAGAATAGCATAAAAATACAATTTTAAATTTATTTCTGAGTATATTTCTTAATTATATTTTTCATATTTGTATGTTTTAGTGCCTCAGCTTAGTTATGTATGAAATTCAAATATTATGTATTTTGGCTTTTGGACCGGAGTGGAGTTCCTTTAAAAAATATCATAAATTAAAGATAAAACTGCTTTTAAACACATTTTTGCTTTACTTCTTTAATTGTATTCCTTTATGCATGACAGTGATGAAACATGATGTTGTTTATTAATTTTCAACCACTTTGTATTCAGCTTCCTGAATCTAACCATTAAGTCATTCAAACATAAATCTGTCAACTTAATTCAAGCACTTTCAAGTGCTTTTTAAGGCCAATTTTGCATTTTCAAGGACAAGTCCCGCGATAAATATTCCTGTAAACAATCAAGTTTAAAGCAAACATTACAAAAAGCAAATTGTACTCTTTAGACATCTTATCACATTCATTATGAAGGCTGTATTTTCCTTGTGGGTGTTTCCACTTTCATTGCTCCTCAGAACACTTTCACCATCTCCCATACCAACTATTTATCTTCATGTATACCCATCAGTGCTCGGCAATGGCCACTTCAAACATCCTTTTATCTTATTCCCAATCAGTAAACATGAAGCAACTTTAAACAGGAAGTTATATATCTTAACTTTAGTTTTCAAAGTTTACCAATTTTTCTTTATACTTGTAAACAAAAGGTAATGTAAAAAGCAATGACCTTGTATACCTACATATCTACCCAAAAAAAATTGAGGAAGTAAAACACATCCCGTCTTCATTTCATACTTACTAACATTTTGTTACATAATTGTATCTCATTTCAAAATTAAGCACTTTTTCAAGGACACCCTCACAATCAAGTAATTTTTAAGACACAGATCAGCATCAAGCACTTTTCAAGACCTGTGCCAACCCTGAGCATTGGACTTGTCACTTATAATAAAGAGAATAGTTGCTGACCCCAATAACGGACTCCAATGATGTTTTAAGAAATGTCAAACATGTGTAAAATAATGTTTTAATAATGGATTTAGGGCACATTAGAAGTTTAACAACTGAAGAAAGTTGGTGTTGAATGTGCAGTTTTGTGTCATAAAGGAAGCAAATGTAATCACAGTAGTATGTTGATTTCCTTACAAAAAACTCATTTACTATGATTATACTCATTGCCAACAGAGCAAAAAGAAGTTCATCTCTGTGGCAAATGAGTATCTTTTTGGAAACTGTAAATCAAGATACCAAAATTAGAAAGTTTTTGAGAAATAAAAATGATAGCATTTCTGAGGCAAAATGGGCCTTTAAGCTACTTCTGTCACTTCGCAGATTAAGTTGATATTTACCACAAATTGAAATTCTGACTGTGGTTGCTCCGCATAGCTGCCTGGCTGTATCTTGTATCCATTAGTGTGGCCGAACGTTATTTTATCGCCAATTTCTAATGTGCAAGTTTTGTGTGTCTGAAAAAAACAAGACATGCAAAATTAATCAAAACTTAACAATTTAGGGAAAAGAAACAAATCTTAAATAATGTTCAGGGCTCATCCTGGGGGGAAATTTTAGGGAGAAGTGACTTCCTCGCGAAAAATAGGGAGAAGGGAAACAGCCCAATGTGTATGCATTAACATGCATGGCTATACATCCTTAACTATAATATAAACACAATTAAACTATTTATCAGCTAATTTATAAGCTTTCTCTACATATTTGTTTATATATTTTCATGTAGATTTATTGATAATAATGTGTAAGAAAAAATTTGATGAATAAATTAATTTCATATTTTTACTTTCCTCACTTTTAATAGAAGATAAAGTTTCAAACAAAATCTGCCTATTCTGTTCTGATTACAGAAAATTCTTATATGATCTTGCATGTTGTAATGTCATATTTATCTACATATAGTTATGCTTATAAAACAATTTTCAAACATCGAAGAATATGTAAAATATGTACTGCAAACATTTGTGCACATTATATTTGATCACTAAAATTAAATACATTCATTTCTTATTGAAAAATTTGACTGAGAAATTATAGAAAATAAATTTCTAATTACCTCCCTTTATTTTCATGAAATGTTAAACTCGTAATATCTTTATAAATAATGCTTTTTGAAATTTACAATATTGATAAATCTTAATCTGAGCGTCATATTTATGACATTAAAACAAATATATATATTGAAACAATAAGAACACGTCTTTCCGATATATACATGTACACATGATATACGATCGATATGTAGCATGCCAATCATGATTCGTAGTTTTTCCGGGATGTCGTGCCCACGTGCGTAAGCTGTGTCAAATTTGGCATTTCTACAAAGATAACAATGCCAAACACTCTCACTGTCTTCAACATACCAATCGTAAGATTTTTGCGAATTGGCTTTCTTAAATTTTTGCGTCAGAATCAGTAACTTTCTTTTACTTCTAGGTTTGGGCATTTCGCCCTGTAGCCATGACGTGAGCGACATAACAATTTTTTAATTTATGTTAACTAATTTATGTTAACAGACTGAAATCATTCAAAACTATGATTAAGTTTTTAATCCGGTCGCTGATCATTAATGAAATTGATTATTTTTAATTGACTAACAGTTTTGTGATAGCCGTGAAAAACCCATTGCAGATCGCCTTTACTCGGGTTAAACACCGCGTGTATATCAATTAGGGAAGATTTGCACGTGTTTAGATGATCGGGAAAAAACAATCTATAATTATCGCCAAATCCCGTATTAAACTCGCAAAACTGTCACACAATTATACCCGTTTCGGGCCGATGCTCTCATTATTTACTGTTTAGAGTAGGCGGTCTATCGCTTTGCATACAGGTAGAAGGGTAGTATAAAGCGACGCTCTGATTGGATAATGATAATTAGCAGTCGTCATATGGGCGTATACAATCTCTGCTCTTTACATCGCCAAGTAATTATTCTTTGGGAATTAAGATTTTATCGGCGATGTTGACTTCTCTTTGATCAATTGTGAGAGCGAAATGGAAATATACACGGCGAAGTTTTCGCCTGAATCGCCCTTCCGGATGAGCCCTGATGTTTTCATTAAACTATTACATACATGTACATTTACATTTTACTTCTGTCATAATTCTATTCTTAATACTTGAAGATCTTCATCATTTTGAAACACTTATGAAGGCGTAAACAGGGTTAAATTTTAAAACTTCAACATAACAAAAATTAAGACTTAAATTTTACTTTACTTTACTTTAACTGAGCTTAACAAATAATCTGACTTTCCATTATCAAGAGCACAAGTCCTGTATATTAAATTCTATAGACAGAATGTTTTGTGTCCTTGCGAGAATGGGACAGAAAGAAGACAAAATGCTTGATCATCACAAAAATTTTGAGCTGCAATAGTACATTTAACTGATTAGTGAATGGGTTAAGATAAATCGAACAGAATAACTAGAAAGCATGAAGCAGTGGCCAATTTATGAGTTCTCAACAGCTTCGTTTCTTTGCAAGTCTGCATTCTGTACAACACACAAGACAACTTCTGTTCTTCTTACCCTTATATCATTTATAAAAGTTCCGTTCAAGCCTTTATCTGTCAGTATGAACTCAATTTCGCCATTTTCATTCTGTTTGCCGAATATTTCAACATGAGATCGTGAAATGAAATTTTTGAGGACGGCGGAGTCCAGGTAATAATCATTGTGCTGGCCTCTACCAACTTTTGTTAGTCCCAAATTCAATCTGAAACAAAAATACAATTTTAACTTGTATCAAAAGATTTCGAGAAATGAAAATTACACAATTTGAGAAAAAAGTTGTTACATACTTAAGTGTTAGAACTGTCTTTTTCAAAGACAAACAAAAGTTTTCTCAACTGACTAAAGTACATAGAACACAGATGAATAATAAGGATGTGAAGGTATACCATAAATTGGACATCAACTGGACACTTTTTGAACATTTTTCTGTACAGATTTCATAATCTTAAAGCTAGAAATCTGAAAATTTGACACAGTACATCTAGGTTCTTCTCCCAACTAAACATAGCTTCTCCCAGGGTTCCCGCTGTCGCTCGCCAATGGCGCCAAATGCGACAAAATATTAATTCTGGCGCATAAAATCTTTAATTGGCGAATTTAACTGGCACCAACGTAAGATAAAAGCATCCGACAACTAGTACACTTAAATGACATAAGCGGCCGCGTCAATTACATAAGCGGCCCAAATGTGAAAGGTCACGCACTATTAGTTTGTTTATCAAACTGTATAATCGGGTACCGTATAATCAATTATGTCATCAATTGTGTGACACTTCGGGAACATGTGAAGATGAAAGTGTCAATGTGTTAATTGGAACAATTTACGTCTTTCATTCTCTGACTTGGAGCACTGATAATAACATGTGTGGTCAACAGGTGTTAGTAGCGAACAGAGAAGTGAAAGATCGTCTGTTATGTTGACAAACATTGAACTTTAGGTAAGTTGACTCGTCAACTGATTAAAAATAATTACAGTTTGAATATTAAATCGGATGACAATTAAAAGAATAATTTCACTAATGATTGATCTAAAGCCACTGTTTACTGCAATGTTAATATTTTCATATCTGAATGTAAAGTGCTGAAGTGTCTATTCACATGCAAACCCTATTAAAATAAACAATATTTTTCATTGTTAAAAATACTTAGTATTTATTTCATTTTTATGTTCTCATTGATTTTTAGATGAAGTCAATTTATAGTAATGTTGTTTTTTTATTATTTTGTATCTGTAGATCACCCGATTGTCTGGTAGAAGCTCGGAAAGATCTTTGCTCAGTCCAGCCTGTGAGAAGAACTGCTATACTGGCAAAACGGTGGAAAACAGGGCCTCCCATGACTAACTTAACATGATGTTTTTGATTACATTTATGTTGTTATGTGTATTTATTTAAATGGAATTTGAAAACCACATAATAATATGTCTATATTTTAGATAAAAAAACATGTGCAGCTGTAATAAAATGAAATATTATAAATATGTGTTTGTAATCATAATGATATATAACTGCTAGCAAATCTTAGCAAAGATAGGCATGTCTCCCTTGCAGAATTATTGGCTCCAACTTTGGAGCCATTGGCTCCAACTTTTTCTGATTGGCGAATTTGGTGGCGCAAACTAATTTTGACCCAGAGGGAACCCTGCTTCTCTTAACTAGCAAACTAGTTTGTTTATTTCTGATTATGTTTCACTTTTATCTGAGGCCCGTCAAGACAGGTATCAAAATTACCTAAATCAACACTATAGTATGTGTCGGACCAGACAGATATGTACTAGACATTGATTTAATCCACATAAAAGATTGGGTGCTTTAATTTTTTTAACATATTTCAGTAGCAATGAACTTGTATGAAGTTTTGAATAGTCTATGGTTTACTCTTACAATGATTATCTAATATAAGAGGTCAGCTATTACACTGATGTCCAAATGTCATTCAACATTCTTGAAAATGAAAGAGGACTCAAAATATTAAAATTTACACAAGTTTAAATAAATTCAATTACTTAATTATGGAAGAAACATGCATTTAGTGTTGATAAAAATGCCACCGATTGAACAACAGAAATAAAACTAAATCAGGCATTTTTAGGAATCAAGGGTCAGCTCGGCCCTAAATCGTACTCGTCTCCCCCGAGTTAGCTCCACCCTATATACCAACTCGGCACGGGTCAACTAGGCCCACTTTTCAATTTATGAATATATTGGTTTGTTTTATTACAAATAATTTAAGCTAATTAAAGGACTGTTATTATTACCAATTAATTACCACATGTATATTAAGGGTACCAATTTAATCAGGTGATTGATGAAATCATTCAATATTTATTTATGACCAGGCCATCCTTAAAAAAATGTTTGTTTGCAGTAACCTGACCCAGAATTTTCAAGGTGGGTAGGTAGGTCGATTTTTTTTTTTTTTTTTTTTTTTTGTTTTTTTTTTTTTGAACTGTACTCCCAAATAAACATGGAATGTCAAAATGCTGGACAATATATGCCTTGATAATCTGGTAACAATTAATAAATTGATAACTGAATACTAATTTAATAAGACCTACATTTAATTTCTTCCATTAACCTTTAAAAGAATGAAAACAAAGCACAAGGCATAATTTTCTGATTAAAAAAAAAAATTTATCCAGACCATGAAAAAATTTTTTGAGTGGGGGCAAATTTTGTGAGTCGGTCGCGTTACTGCAAACGAACATTTTTTTAAGGATGGCCCCACCTGCAACTATTTAGAAGCTTAATATAATAAGTAAACCCGTTATCATTTCGTATTTTATCGGGGATTTCTTTACAAACAAAAAGTATCAAAGGAAACACATTTGTATTAACTATTATATGAATTTTTAACAAATCTGCAAGAAATTAGAATAAACATAACATATTTCTTCTTAATATTCTTTAATCGGCAGAAGTACAATGTACAATTATATAATAATATAACAGATATCTCTTATTTTTCATTTAAAACAGCTTACCTTGATAACATGCAAGTAATCAGAAAAGTTTAACACGTTTTTTTAAAAGTGTGCCGAGTTGACGTGTGCTGAGTTGACCCATGCCCAGGGTTGTCATTAACATTTTTTGCAGAAGGTTTGTTTTGAACTTGAGGCGGTCATTTCTGTCTTTATCATGCATAACAAAGAGTGTTTTCTTAATTTTGAGGCGGCCCATAATGCATTTGAGACAGGCATTTTGGCCTCCTGCCGCCTCTTAATGACAACTCTGCATGCCTAGTTGACTCTTTACCCATTTATAGGGTCGTCAGCGTTTGACAGTTATTTGGTTTTGGTTGGTCCCCAACAAGTTACGAATATAATCTTAAACGCTTGATAAAAATAGATAAACAATGCATTGATCTTATTATCAGTAACTATAAGTTTAATTCAGGCAGAGTTGACCGGTCCCTTTTTTGAATGTTTCCCAGACAACATTGTTGCAGGGTCTGTTTAATGCCAAGCCTACCTAATTTGTAATTATTTCATCAATGAAACTATGCTATGATTTGGGGGTCCTACTAAACACTGCTAAGGACTGCCAAGGACCGCTAAGGACTGCTAAGGACTGCTAAGGAGCCACAAAGGACTACTAAAGAGGCACAAAGGACCTTCAAATACCTCCTAGGCCATTCTTATATTACATGGTATTATTTTTAGTGGAAAAAAAATTATAATTTTAAGAAAAAATATGATTTTGGTGAAAATTTTATGAGTTGTCGGACCGCTAAGGACTGCTCAGATACACAAAAGACTGCTAGGGAGGCACAAAGGACCTTAAAATACCTGTAAGGGCATTCTTATAATACAAGGTAGTATGTTTAGTGACAAAAAATGTATTATTTTAAGAAAAAATATCATTTTAGTGATAAAATTTATGTTTTTGAAGAGTTGTCGGACTGCTAAGGACTGCTCAGGTGCACTAACAACTGCTAGGGAGGCACAAAGGACCTTCAAATCCCTCCTAGAACATTCTTATAATATATGGTAGTAAGTTAATAGACAAAAATGTATTATTGTAAGAAAAAAATATAATTTTGGTGATAGAATTTATGCTTTCGATGAGTTGCCGGACCGCTAAGGACTGCTCAGGTGCGAAAAGGAATGCTAGGGACCTTAAAATATTTCCTAAGGAGGCACAAAGGACCTTAAAATACCTGTAAGGGCATTCTTATGATACATGGTAGTATGTTTAGTGATAAAAAATGTATAATTTTAAGGAAAAATATCATTATAGTGATAAAATTCATGTTTTTGAAGAGTTGTCGGACCGCTAAGGACTGCTCAGGTGCACTAACAACTGCTAGGGAGGCACAAAGGACCTTCAAATCCCTCCTAGAACATTCTTATAATATATAGTAGTAAGTTAATAGACAAAAATGTATTATTGTAAGAAAAAATATAATTTTGGTGATAGAATTTATGCTTTCGATGAGTTGCCGGACCGATAAGGACTGCTCAGGTGCGAAAAGGACTGCTAGGCAGGCACAAAGACCTATAAATATTTCCTAGGGAGGCACAAAGGACCTTAAAATAACTGTTGGGGCATTCTTATAATTCATGGTAGTATGTTTAGTGACAAAAAATGTATAATTTTAAGGAAAAATATCATTATAGTGATAAAATTCATGTTTTTGAAGAGTTGTCGGACCGCTAAGGACTGCTCAGGTGCACTAACAACTGCTAGGGAGGCACAAAGGACCTTCAAATCCCTCCTAGAACATTCTTATGATATATGGTAGTAAGTTAATAGACAAAAATGTATTATTGTAAGAAAAAATATAATTTTGGTGATAGAATTTATGCTTTCGATGAGTTGCCGGACCGCTAAGGACTGCTCAGGTGCGAAAAGGACTGCTAGGCAGGCACAAAAACCTATAAATATTTCCTAGGGAGGCACAAAGGACCTTAAAATAACTGTTGGGGCATTCTTATAATTCATGGTAGTATGTTTAGTGACAAAAAATGTATAATTTTAAGAAAAAATATCATTTTAGTGATAAAATTCATGTTTTTGAAGAGTTGTCGGACCGCTAAGGACCTGCTATTCAACGTCCAATCGACGTCAAATTTCAGATTTATGTCATTTAAATATTAATAGACGATTACTTGTATTTTACTTCATACAACAATCATTCAGTTTATTTTAACATTTGTTTATATTTAAACATTATATGAAAATTTCGGCGTGCGCCGATGTT